GCCGGGTGCAATGCTGCCATGGCCACGGGGCCCGCAGCCGAAGCTGGTCCAGGCCCGCACTTCCATGGCCACGGGGCCCGCAGCCGAGGCTGGCTGGGGGCAGCGCTGCTGTGGCCATGAGGGCTGCCACAGGCCCCTGTGACAAGCTGTGCCAGCCACGAGTTGGTAAGCTTGCGTCAGAGGCTCCTGGTGTTTCACCAGGCTGGACCCACCTCGTTTTGCCTGCTTGTTTTTAAATATTTTCTGGTACTTTCCGTCAAAGTCTGCACATCCAAATTGGGTTCCCAGTGACGTCTGCAGTACCTGTTATGTGACATTAGCTATGTTTTCCACAAGGTGTCAGTGTTGTCTTCATTGAATTAACATTGCCTTTCATTGTATTCTGGTTGTTCCGTTTCCAGCACCCTAGTTTCCCGTCCCCCTATCTGCTCATCTTTGCTGTGGAGTGATTGCTGACTGGTGGTCTCACACGAGGGATTTTCAGGACCCCACACTCAGGGTCTGTCTCCTTCCTGTGGTGTGTCTTCTGTTTCACTAAAAGATATCTCAGGGAAGTGTCTGTTCACAGCTGGCCAGGAGGTGTGAAATCTGTAAGACTTTGTCCCCTGTCCTGCACTTGTCTCCCATCCTGTCGGCATCCATCAGTGGTCCAGGTGCCATCCAGTCCCTCTGGCGGGGCCCTACCTGCCACTGTTTGCATCGCCCTGGGTGACCATCTTGAACAGCCCAGATGAGAGGCCGCTCCTTCTGCAGCGGGGAGGAGCCCATCAGCTGTGTGCTGGGTTGTGTCTGTCTGGAGTGCCCTTCTTGGCAGGAGAGCCCAGGTGCCTGCCCACCTGCTCACAACCCACAGTGCTGCCGGGGCCACTTGGGTCTGGTACGGATCCTGAGAGCCAAGGAAATCTCCCTTTTTGCTTCCAGACAAATTGGGGAAAACCTCATCGTGCCTGGGAACGTCAGAATGATCGATGCACACGGCCTGCTGGTCCTCCCAGGTGGGATCGATGTCCACACACGGCTGCAGATGCCTGCGCTGGGCATGACCCCAGCTGACGACTTCTTCCAGGGCACGAAGGCCGCTTTAGCGGGAGGCACCACCATGATCTGTGAGTTCCTGCAGCCCACTTCCAGGCACAGCCTCGTCCCATGCTCGTCCGCATGCCAGTGTGGCAGGAGGAATTTCATGTTTGTTGTTGCTGTGTGTCTGCGAGTCAGCTCTGACTGAAAAGAAGTTTTCTCGCAGTCCTGTCCAAAGGGCGTTTGTGTGTGGGTGTTCTGAATACCCAGGGAACCAATGGATGTGGGTCCTGCAGGGGTCTCCTGTTGCCGCCTCTGGCATGGACCAAGGATGGAAGCCAACTTCTTTGGGCAGAACAGGGTGTGTTGTCTGGAAAACCAGACACGACTCTGATGCCCAGCATGGCAAGCCCCTGCCATGTTCAGAGTGAAAGTGTTCAGATCAAGGAGGACATTAATTCTCATCGTCACTCTAACACCAAGAGTCCCCAGGTCTTTATTGCTACTTCTGCCAGGGTCAGCCTCAAGCTTCAGCTCACAGGTGCTGGTGAACCCCCCGAGGTCAGAGTGAGCCCTTTGAGCAGAAGCATGCAGAGGGGTCTGCTTGCCTGCCCCCCCAGGAAGTGCAGGCATGGGGTGAAAAGCTGGAATTGACCCCTGCCCCCCCACAGCTGGAGCTGACCCTGCCCACCTCCCCCCCACACACACCCACCCCCCAGCTTACACAGGAAGTACAAGCATCAGAGTGAAAAGCTGGAGCTGACCCCACAGAGCTTTGAGCAGTACCCTCCAGCCATACCCTGTGACTAAGCCTCAGCCTACAGGGCTGACCTGAACTTGGCCCCCCTTTCCTAGTGGTGACCGCAGGTCAGCTAACACCCACAGGTCACCTCTTCCTGTCAGCTCGCAGACATACCTCTGGAACTCACTGTGCTTAACGCGATTCACAGTGTTTTGCATTTTCAAAACCAGAAGCTTGGTGCACCCGCACTGGCGTCCATCTGTGGATACTTGGTGTCTTTGTGGGTGTCCCAAATGGGTTTGGGTCATTCTCACACTATTCCAAACTTTTGTACCATTACTGGACACTCGTGATGTAAACCTAACCACCATGGGCACTGGGAGCCCGGTCTTGGGGCGACTGGCTTGCTGAGACTCCCGTGGGGTTTGTGGTCTGGAGTTTAGGCCCAGACATCTCAGCTTAGTGGTGATAGGAAGTAACTCGGCCCTCCTGAGGTGGCACGAGGATTAGAGCAGGTGGCATGCAAGTGGCCCTGAGCAGTGCCCATGCACAGTAGATGGTCAGTAAATGCAGCTGCCCCATCACCAGTGAGAACAGCAGTAGTCGGGGCTCCATCGCAGGGCACACTAAGCCTGGTTGAAGTGATGCATGGTGCTCTGCACAAGCTGCAAGCAAGAAACCCCAGCCACATCTGTGTCCACTGTGGACTTTGGCCAAAGGACTGGCCACTTTAGCTCAGGAGGGCCAAGGACAGCCAGCGGCATCAACATGCCGTGAGGTATCATGTGGTGATGGGGAAACGCAGGCTGCCCTGAGGTGGCATCTGTCCTGTGTCCTTCTTGCTCCACATGTCCAGATTCTGGCCAGTGCTGTGTCCACACGGCAGCGAGCTCGGGGGTGGGGCAGGGGCTAACACTTCCACGAGGCCCTGAGCTCATACTGGAGGATGAGAACAGAGCCTTCAACACCATCCTGGAGTCAAGTCATTTCTTCACCAGCGTGCCCAGTGGAGGCCACTTGACCATGTGCTAAACCATAGGACATGTGCAGGGTGGTGGCACGATGCCCTGTTCTCTGGGGAGATGCATACCACATTGCAGGGCATGGGGGCGCCTTTGAAGGAGTGAGGTAACACCAAGGGAGGCAGCCCTGTGGGGGATGGGGAAGGCAGGGCCAGCAGCATGGCCAACACTGTCCACCTGCAGGCCTCACCTGCACCCCTGCTCTGTGGGTGGATCCTGCCCACAGAGGGATGTGGGGGCAGGCCGGGCCCAGCACCGTGGACAGCGCTCTGTCCACCTGCAGACTTGTGACTTGCGTCCCGTTCTGTGGGAGGGGACAGGAAGTGGTTGGATCAGACTCCTCTGCCCTCTCCCCACTCAGCTTACATACAGCTGCTGCTTTTGGGGAAACTAGTGGAGAAGGGAATGAGGGTCACCAGTCCCCCACCCCAGCGAGCATCCTTATCTGTGGGGAAATGAAACCCAGGGCTCGTGGAGGGTACTGTGGTGGCAGAATGGGCAGAGCCAGGGTGCTGGCTGATGCTCTGTCCCCGGCAGTGGACCATGTGTTCCCGGAGGCGGGCGTGAGCCTGCTGGCTGCGTATGAGCAGTGGCGAGAGCGGGCGGACAGCACAGCCTGCTGTGACTACTCCTTGCACGTGGACATCACCCGCTGGCACGAGAGCATCAAGGAGGAGCTGGAGGCCCTGGTCAAGGACAAGGGTGAGGACAAGGATGCAGTAGCAGCTGCCACCTCTACCTGTTCCTGGGGTGGGGACAGGCTACCTCGCCCTGGGTGAGCTCATCCTGGTCTCCTAACTAAGGGACAGGGGTCACTGTTGGTGGTGGTCTCCACTGGCTTAGTGCAGAAGACACCACCTGGGTGGAGGGAACATCCTTAGCAGGTGGAGCACGAAGTGGGAGGGAGGTTCTGGTGACCTAACTGCCCTGTGGAGTGGGGAGCAGGGTCCCCCAGGCAGCTAGCAGAGCCATCTGACGCCCCTCCTTCAGGAATCAACTCCTTCCTGGTCTTCATGGCATACAAGGACAGGTGTCAGTGTGCGGATGGCCAGGTGAGGTGGGGGGGTGTGGACAGCAGGGGCTGAAAGGGGGTGTGGATGGCCAGGTGAGGTGGGGGGGTGTGGACAGCAGGGGCTGAAAGGGGGTGTGGATGGCCAGGTGAGGTGGGGAGTTGTGTGGACAGGAGGGGGTGCGGATGACCGGGTGAGGTGGGAAAGATAAGTGGATGGCTGGGAGGATATAGTATCCAGCAGGCCCACGGCTGCCGCTGACTCAGCCCATCTTCCCTCCCAGATATATGAGATCTTCACCATCATCCGAGACCTGGGGGCTCTGGCCCTGGTGCACGCAGAGAATGGGGACATCATTGAGGAGGTTTTGGGGGGCTCTTGTCCACTGCTTGGAACACCCTCAAGCCCCAGTTCACCTGCAGGAAATGGAAGGGGGTCCCCAGAGTTCTCCCCCAAGTCTGTGTGACTGGAGGACCTGGAAGGCCCTGGGGGGGGTCCAGAACTCAGCTCAGACATGGAAACCCATGGGGCAGGAGTCAGTAGGATGGTGTCTCAGGGTGGGGGTCTGTGGGACCCCTGGAGCAGTGGGCTTAGGATGAGCCTGTGGGTGGGTTCTGTCCAGGGGGTCTCTGGATGTGGGGCATTCATTGGTCCAGGGTTAAAGTGTAGTCCGTGGGGTACAGTCTGTGAGGGGAGTTCCTTGGGTAAGGACTGTAGCATAAGGGAGGTGGGGTCCATTGGTCCAGCCAGGGCTGAGGGGCAACATAGTGGGGTCTATGAGGGGCTCCCTGAGCCAGGGGTCCATTGGACAGGGTCTATAGAGCTGTCTGTACATGTTGTCTCTGGGGGCAGTCCATGAGAGGGGCTTCTGGTGGACAGTCCATAGCAGGGGCCTCTGAGGGGGCAGTCTATGGGAGGGGCCTCTGGGGGGCAGTCCGTGGGAGAGACTTCAGGGGGCAGTCCATGGGAGAGACTTCAGGGGGCAGTCCATGGGAGGGGCCTCTGGGGGGCAGTCCGTGGGAGGGACTTTAGGGGGCAGTCCATGGGAGAGACTTCAGGGGGCAGTCCATGGGAGGGACCTTTAGGGGACAGGCCGTGAGGGGGGCCTCTGGGGGCAGTCCATGGGAGAGACTTCAGGGGGCAGTCCATGGGAGGGGCCTTTGGGGGGCAGTCCGTGAGAGGGGCCTCTGGGGGGCAGTCCAGGGAGGGACCTCTGGGGGGCAGTCCGTGGGAGGGGTTTTGAGTACCCTGGTGGCTGTCCTAGGAGCAGAAGCGGATGCTGGAGCTCGGCATCACAGGCCCGGAGGGCCATGTGCTCAGCCACCCTGAGGAGGTGAGTATCCAGTGGACCCTTCCCACCTCCTGGACTCCAGGGGACTGTGCCCCGTGACCTAACTGGTAGGTGTGAATCACAACACGCCCCCAGGCAGGTGTTCTCCAAGTCACCTGTTGGCCTTGACCTAAGTACCAGGACCACAGTCTGGGAAGCTCTGGGGACACGTAGTAGGCTCAGGTCCAGACCCCTACCCCGCTCTCAGCACCCAGCCCAGCTCCTGGCTCCCAGCCCAGGGTCAGTTCAGTCCGAGGAGGGGCAGCGGAGGGCTGTCACCTCCTCATGGTCAGGGTCTCCATCAAATGTTCCCAGGTGGAGGCTGAGGCTGCGTTCCGAGCTGTCACCATCGCCAAGCAGGCCAACTGCCCGCTGTACATCACCAAGGTCATGAGCAAGGGCTCAGCGGACGTGGTCGCCCAGGCCAAGAGGAGGGGTGAGTGAGCATCCTTCTGGGGGCTGGGTCAGCTCAGGGAGGGTGGGCTAGGGGTGCAGGAGGCCCTGGAGGAGATCTGCAGGCCTACTGGGCGCCTTGGATGGGGCGGGCAGCAGAGCGTTTCTGCTAACCCCGTCTCTGGAAATGAGTGACATGCAAGGAGTGTGAGACAGAGGCCTTGAGTTCCAGAGGACGCCCCCATCCCCCCATCACTAGTGACCCTAGATGGTGACCCTGAGGAAAAGAGCCCCCCTGGAGGGTCAGACCAGGTGGGAGGAAGAGATTGGAGGAGGGGGGCTAAACCAGAGGGGTGGGACCTAAACTAATGGAGCATGGAGGGGGTGGGGCCCAGGGGGAGTGGCAGTGTAAGTGGGCGGGGTCTGGATGGAAGTGGAGGGGCGGGGCCTGGCTGGGAGAAGTGGGACCAAGGTGGAGGGGCGGGGCCTGGGTGGAAAAAGAAAGGCTGAGGTAGAGGAACAGGTCTTGATAGAAGGTGGGGAGGGACCCACCATGGCGGAGGGGCGGAGCCTGTATGGGAGAGGTGGGGCCAAAGTGGAGGGGCGGGGCCTGTGTTGAAGGGGAGGGCCCCTAGGTTGGGGGGGGGACCCTGATGTTGAGGAAGGAGACTGAGACTGAAGGGCAGGACTAGTGGGCCAGACAGAGAAGCCCGCTGCCCTGCCCACCTTGCCTGCTCCTCTGAGTGCGTCTCTTCAGCTCACTCCAGCTTGTCCCCAGCTGTGCTGGGTCCCACAAGGCGGGTGGGGTTCTCCGTGGGGAGTACTCTGCATGAAGGCTTGAAGCTAGTCCTCCTGGTTACAGCCTAGCTTGGGGGGGTTGTGGAGGCTCAGCCCCCCCCAGCACTCCCTGCACCCCATATCCATCCCAGAGCTCCTGGGGGAGAGGGCGCTCCCTGGAACTCACCACTAGGCCTGACCTCACAAGGAAGCATGTTTCCATGGGGCTGTGCCCCAGTGACTCCTCCACTGCACCACCAGGCAGGCTGACCCACATGGGCCACTACCTCCTGCCAGCCACACCTCTGGGCTTCCGTCTACTGCGTCCCCAGGGTAGGGTGGCATGGGGTGGACCCTGCTGGCTGAGGGCCGAGGCCCTAGGCTCTGCTGGCAACCCCCTCCAGGGGCCATCGTGTTTGGGGAGCCAGTCACTGCCAGCCTGGGCACCGATGGGTCCCACTACTGGAGCAAGAACTGGGCAAAGGCCGCAGCCTTCGTCACCTCACCCCCCATCAGCCTGGACCCCAGCACCCCAGACCATCTCACCTCCCTGTTGTCCAGGTGAGGGCACCAGAGATCCTCAGGGAGGGCTTCAGATGGGAACGGCCCCCACCCAGCACCACACTGCTGTCCATGCCCTCCCCTCACAGACACCAGCCCAGCACTGACATCATGGCCTCTGAGCTCTGGGCCTGCTGCACCGGGGGAGGGGGCACAGAAGTACCCCTTGGGCTGCTGTTTACCCCATTCTTTCCCCAGCGGAGACTTACAGGTGACCGGCAGTGCCCATTGCACCTTCAGCACCGCTCAGAAGGCCGTTGGCAAGGACAACTTCACACTCATCCCAGAGGGCACCAATGGCGTGGAGGAGCGCATGGCCGTGGTCTGGGAGCAGTGCGTGGTGGGTGTGGGACTCAGGGAGGGTCCTGCCATTCCACTAGCACCTGGTGGCTCTGTGTTCTCCGTTTTGAGGCCACCAGTCACACAGGATTGTGCCCTCAAGTAATCCTAACTGACAGCATCTTCAAAGACCCTGTGTCTTCAGGCCAGGGTCAGCCCCTAACATGCACATAGAAGCCGGAGCAGCTGGCCACCCTGACACTCACCCTCTGAGAGCCGGGTCCCTGCCGTGCTGGGAGGGGCCACACTGGAGGAGGCGCTGCCTGGCTCAAGCCCTGCTCCTCCAGGACCCCAGATGCTGGTGCTCTGCTGGCCATGCGCAGCCCCAGGACAAGGTCCTAACTTTCCAGGAAGTAGCTGCAGGCCATCCACAGCTCCTTCTTAGGTGGCCTTCTGGCTTTGCAGGCCTCAGGGAAGATGGACGAGAACCAGTTTGTTGCTGTGACCAGTACGAATGCCGCCAAAATCTTCAATCTTTACCCCCGGAAGGGCCGAGTGGCTGTGGGTTCTGATGCTGACCTGGTCATATGGAACCCCAGGGTCACCAGGATCATCTCGGCGAAGAGCCACAATCTGGTAGGCCACTGTCCCCACCAGGGCCAGCCTGCGGTGGCCGGGTCTCACCCAGCACCGTGTCCACATCCCACAGCACAGTGAGTGACTAGAACATACCATCCCCGTTGTACAGATGGGGAGACTGAGGCAGGGCGTTTATAACTGGGGTCCTGCTTTCCCGGAGGAGCCACCCTCAGTGCCTGCCCACGCACCGCTTGTCCTGAGCACGTGAGGTTGGCGCCTGGGCTCTGACCATCTCATCAGCGGTCTGAGGAAGGAGCCACCCCCTGAATATAGCAGACAGGCCAGCAACAAGTGAGCCTGGGGCATTCCAGAGGCGAAGGGGCTGAGGTGGGGCCTTGTCCTCTCCCCAGAATGTGGAGTACAACATATTCGAAGGTGTGGAGTGCCACGGGGCCCCCACGGTGGTCGTCAGCCAGGGACGTGTTGTGCTGGAGGATGGGAATCTGCTTGTCACACCTGGGGCCGGCCGTTTCATACCCCGGAAGACATTCCCAGACTTTGTTTACAAGAGGATAAAGGCGCGGAACAGGGTGAGGCTGTGCCCGTGAGCCCTCGTGTCGGGGTGGGACCAGCCCCAGAAAGAAGTCCCCTTGCTGGGTGGCCTCGCTCAGGGTGTTGGCCATTGGTACCAGGGAAGGAGGTGTGTGTGAGTGCCCCCATGGGCGGAAAGGTAAAATGCAGAGAAGACGTGTGCACACCTGTGTGTGTGTGTAAAGGAGGGAGTGTGCGTATGTGTGCAGTGACAGGGATGTGCAACATACATGTGAGGAGGGGTGCACATGTGGAGGGGTGCAAACTCACATGGAGGTGAGCTGTGATAGATGTGTGTGCATATGTGGGGTGGGGTGTGACTACAGAGGTTTGCATGCACCCATGAAGGTAGGAGGCATAGATGGTAGGTGCCTGTGTGCACACATAGAGGTGTGAGTGCACACATGTGGGGAGGTGTGCATGTACATACACGTGGGGAGGCGTGTCTGTACATATATGTGGGGAGGTGTGCGTGCATTTGTGGAATGGAGGTATGTACACACCTGTGTGCATGTAGGTGAGTGTGCTCTCAGGAACGCCTCAGACTGTCCCAAGGGGTGGGTCAGGGGTCCATGCCCTCACCCACACCTTGTGCCTGCAGCTGGCGGAGACCCATGGTGTGCCCCGAGGCCTCTATGATGGGCCAGTCCATGAGGCTGTCATGCCAGCAAAGGCATCCGGTGGTACTCTGGCACGTGCTTCATGCCCAGGCAAGGTCTCTGTGCCACCCATACGGAACCTGCACCAGTCAGGGTTCAGCCTGTCAGGTGAGTTCATCAGAAGCTGGGCTCAAAGGGGTTTGGGAGTAAAACACTGGCAGCCACCAGGCATCGTACCGGGACAGCCCTTTTCTGTCCGAGGGCAGTTGGGATGAACTTCCCAAATCAGCCATGGGGGGTAGAGGTCTCTGCAGAAGGTGACATGGACTCACTCAGAATCACCCCCATCAGCCCTGCCCTGGACCACAGGCCTCCCCTTGGCCTCAGGTCAGACTGGAATGTCTTGAAGGTTCAGGGGACCCCAGCACAATGTGACTTTGTCATATAGGAAGGCAGGTCATGAGGTTAGAGCCCACCCAGATGGCAGCTCAAGTCCTAGCGAGGTGTGTGGACGGGTGGCCAGCCCCCCTCTTCTCCCAGTGCACAGTGTGGAGAGAAGCTCTCCCAGCAGACAGGGGCCAGCCGTACCTAGTCCAGGGGGCATTTGCCCCCTAGCGCCCTGTCTCCTTCTGTGGGGCTGCCCTATCCAGAGGACGCAGCATTGTTGTAAGAGGTTGTGGCACGTGCATCCCCTTGTCTAGGGTGGGCTGAGACACACAGCAGGACCAGAGACAGGACAGGATCCCAAGAGGGCTGGCTTTGAACTCCCAGCCTTCTGCACAGTGTAAAGGCTGTGCCACCATCCTGTCATGAGAGGCCGAGGGCTGGGAGCCCCTGACCTGGCTCCTGGTCTCCCCACATGGCCTGGGACCATCCCAGTCGTGTGCAGCGTGGGCCTTGGCAGTGCTGGCTCTGGGAGGACAGGGGGCAGCCCTAGCCCACATCCCCTCTCCTTCCCTTGCCCACTCACTGCCCTCTCCTTCAGGGTCTCAGGCGGATGACCACATCGCTCGGCGCACAGCGCAGAAGATCATGGCACCCCCTGGTGGCCGCTCCAACATTACCTCCCTCTCTTAAACTCACCCCCCCACACACCTCCTCAGACTCCCTTTTCCCTAATGGACCCACCTTGCCTTTCCCTCCCCCAGAGCGCCCTTATAGGGTCCCAGGCCCTGCCACCCATGGGGAGCCCTGGTCATGGGAGGGCTGAACTGGGGAGATTTCACTGCCAGGCGAGAAGGCTGGAACAGCTCAGGGTCCCAGGTGCCTTTCCGGGCCAGGCCTGAGTGTTAGTGGGGCTGGCCTTCACAGAGCGTGGGGACAGCCGACCCCGCTGAGAGGGCTGCCCATTGGGGGCCTGCCTGGAGAGAAGGCGTCCAGCTTAAGTCACTGCCACCCATGCCGCAGGCTCCACTGACCTCCAGGTCAGCCAGGCCCCTTGGCCAGGAGACAACCAGCCCCGCCCAGATCTGCAGACTTCAGGGATCCATCAGGGACTTCAGATACTCATTCCAAGGACCAGACCCCAGCGTCTTAGTGCCCGAGCTGGTCAGACCCTTAGACATGCTGCTTCCCCTCTTCTCCTAAGACGTGTTCTCTGGTTTCTTAGCTGTAGTCTTCGTCAGTGAGCAAAACTAGCCAGTCTGCATGCCGCTGGCCATGAAATTGGCCATTAAAGATGCAGTGGAAGCTGCCAGAGTGTGAACCGTGCTTTGTACCCTCTCCCAGCACACAGCTCACGTGCAGTCCTGAGCTGGCCTTGAAGCCCTTCGTGGGAACAGCCCTAGAGGCTCGAGGACTGGGAGGCTGACCCAGAGCCTGCAGGGTACTGACAGCCCACATGCAGGACCCGGGCAGAGAGCCACGGCCACAGGGGACCACCACGCCACATAGTAACCCAACACCCCAGGAGAGGGGCCAGGTGAAACCCCTCTCATACAGGCAGCAGAAGACAAACATGTCCAGCTGGGCAATAACCCCCAGATTCCCATCCAAAGCCCCCAAAACTCCCAGAAGACAACAGCTGGCCATCCCTTTGGTCTCCAGAATCTTTGGAGGGCTGGCCAATGGTCACCTGGTCACCTTGGGATTTGTGTGTGTCGGACAGCATGGCTGAGTGGTGGCAGGTTAAGGGTAAAAACCAGCCAGATCACACATGGCCATCTGGCTGCTGGGCTTCACGGAGACAGAGGGACAGTGGCACCCACAGAGGCTGGCAGGAGACAGAGGGACAGTGGCACCCACAGAGGCTGGCAGGAGACAGAGGGACAGTGGCACCCACAGAGGCTGGCAGGAGACAGAGGGACAGTGGCACCCACAGAGGCTGGCAGTCATTTGTTCACCCACTTGCTCATTCATTCCTCCGCCCATGGACCACCCACCCACCCAACATGCCCCGTCTATCAGCTACTCATTCACTCGGTCAGTCATTAATTCTCCAATGTGGGCGTCCCTCCTGTGTCCAGTCCCTGACTGGGCCTGGGAGCTAGGCTGGCCTGTCACACTTGGGTGTGCAGAAGATGGTCAGCCACAATTTTGGGTCAGTTTTGGGAGCTTCAGCCAATGAATGAGTCAGGTGGGTGTCACAAGGAAAGTGTCCCCTAACCTTGCACCCAGGGGTCAGTTGCGGGTGGAGTGCATGTATCCCCTGTGATGTCCTCTGCAGGCCTTCCCAGGATTCCATCAGGCCAGACAGCAGGTTCTGGTCAGAGCTGGTTCTGAGGCTGTTGTCCAAGGCCCAGGCCCCTCCCCTCATCCCATCTTTTAAAGGACCCTGCCCTCCACGCTACCGAGCCCTCCCAGCCCCAGGGGAAGTTACTGGGTGTCCTCCCTACCCCCTACTCAGGCCTCGAAACCTGGGCTTAGATTATGAATGTCACACACTGTCACACACACACGTACATGGGACATGAAACACTTCTGCCATCACAACTCCCAGAGGTGAACTCTACAGAAACTTCTGGAACAGGTATAGGTCTAGAAAACATTCTTTCCTCCCCACCCATGCCCCTCCCCACCCTGGCCCTTGATGTACAAGAAGAAAGCCACAGCCGGGTGCCATCTACACAGGGTAGCAGGTTCGGCTCCAGCAGCTGGGAGTCTGGTGACGGTCCCATCCAGCCAAAGCCCTGGGCCTTCATGACCTGCTGCAAGCCAGCCCTCAGGCCCTCAGAGAGTCCAGGCTGCATGGCATGTGTGACACTGGCCCTCCCATTGCCCTGGCCCAGATCAGGATCCTGGAACACCTGCCCCTCCACACCACTGTCTTGAGAAGACCGGAGCTCTGAGGTCCCCGCGCTGACAGTGTGGTGCCCAAGTCCTTTGAGTACATGAGAATGGGTGGCTGCCCCACTGCTGTCCCCAGCCTGGTTGACAGTCTCTGCCACCTGGTGTCCACTGTATTGGCACTCAGCTGCTGCCTGCCGAGGGACAGAGGGGGCCACACATGGACAGGGACCCCCTGGGCCCTCTGTCCACCGGTGCTTCTGCTTCGGCCTCATCCTGCAGCTCAGGCTCGGGGAGCAGGTCGGCTGTAAGGTCCTGACTCCTCTTCAGCCTGGGGGAGACACCGGGAGGGGCTGGGTGTCTGGGGCTCACCTGCCTGGGTCCCACCATGAAGAACACTGGTCTCCAGGCCTCACTGTGTATGTAAGCAGGTGGGACCCAGGAGGCGACATGGGGCAGCCCAATTCACACACTGCCTAACGCTAATGGCGAGACGTCTGTGCGCTCGCCCAGGGCTGTGGAGGTCAGTACAAAGACTGTCACATGTGCACCCGCCACCCCAGGACAGAGCCCTCAGGCCGGGGCTCCAAGCCTCTCTGGCACTCCTTCCTATGATCAGCAGAGGGAGCCCCAGAGTAATGCATCTCCCACTTCACAGTCCTAACCCCCTACCCTGCCAGCCTCACCCCCAGAGCCCCATATCTTCACCCCAGTCCCTGATATCTATACCCAAATCACAATATTCCCACCAGGACCCCATTCTCCACCGCACACCCCATTATCTTCATGCACGTCCTGGAGCTCTGGTGGCCTGGAGGCGTGCGGCCAGGTTCTATGCTCCCAGATGGAACGGGGTGGGGGGGGCATTCTCCTTCCATGCTGTATACAGCCTCTGAAAGTCTCTGGGGGGTCAGCCATGTGGCAGTTCTGACTGCTACTTAAAGACAACACACCCCAACTCTGTGCCCCTGTATCCTCCCAAACCCCAATGTCCCCACCCAACACTCACTTTTCTCGATTAAAAATCACAAAGTCCTGCTGGATGGCGTCCAGGCAATCCTGAAGATAGTCGTTCTCCTGTCAGACAGACACTGGCGTGAGCTAGTACTAAACATGCCACACCCTGTGCCATCTCTTCCCTCGGCCGATGACAAGGGACCCTGTCTCTGGTGACTGAGTGTGAGGGCCCTGGCAGATGGCCGTCCATTCAGAGGTTCTGGACAAGGTGGCTGTGACGTGGTAGGAGGGAAGGGTGGCCACCATGCTGGCTTTGAGGTCAGCATCTGGACAAGTGGTAAGGATGGGGCATTCTGAGGGCTTATGCTGCATGAACAGGTGTGGCTGGCTCCTAGGCAGTGTCCATTCCCTCATCCTGCAGCCCAAGGACAGTGTTCAAGGTGGACACTCACGGTGGGGCCTCAGGTGCCAGCCAGTCACTTTCAACTCATAGTGGCCCGTGGGCAGCAGAAGGAAGCACTGCCCAGGCCTGGCCATCCCTACACCCCTGCATCACTCAAGAGTTTCCTCCTCTTTTTGCTGGGCTTTCTGTGGTGGTGTCCACTACATCGCTGCTGAAAGGTGCCCAGCACCTTGGGCAAACACACTGGCGTGCCTCCTGCACCACGATCTTGTGGTCAGACAGGACCTTCAGGGGCTCCGAATCTGCCTGAGGCCCCCCTCAGGATGGCTGCCTCCTGCCTGCCAGCCCCAGAAGCTCACTGCCAGTCCTGCCTGTGGGGGCCTGGCTTCACCTGGTCCCCCACACCCCAAGCCCCACCATAGCGAGGTAGGGCCAGCCACTTGACCCTGGGCCCCTCACGCAGCCCTGTCCCCATTCCATACGGGTATTGCTGCAAGGCCATGTTCTGACAGACTAGACATCTAATTGTGTGAGAGCAGGGGGCCCCACAAAGTCACCAGCCCTCTGCTCTCTGCTGGTCTCACAAGACTGGCTCTCCACCTGCCATGGAAATCCTACCTCCAGACAGGAGGGGGCACCAGCAGTTGTGTGCTCCCTGAGAACCTGAGCATCCAGGGCGACCCCGACCTTACCCCGTACCCCAGTGATGAGGGGTGGCCCCCACCTTCTTCCAGCAACTCTAAATAAACATACAGCTGGGGGCCCTCCCCATGGGAGTCTGGCTAGGGAGAGCAACTCCATCACAGGGTCATCATACTGTCCTCTCTGGACACTGCTGTGCTTGGACGCACGGTCAGGGGACCACAGGGGCATCCCACCTGCTCAGAGAAGGAGCCCCCCAGGGGCTAGAGTTTAGGAGGGGCTTCGAGCCCTTCCCCAAACCCGAGGGCGGGAGCCCCCCTCCACACCCCCAGGATGGCCGGCCATCCGGCACTCACAGACTGGGAGCCCCCCTCCACACCCCCAGCGCGGGATCCCCGCCTCCACACCCCCAGGACGGCCATCCGGCACGCACAGACTGGGAGCTGTCCCTGCTGTTGTCGCGGGACTTGTTCTTGGCCAGCCTCTTCTTCTTCTTGTGCAGCGGCCTCGACTCCAGGATCATCTCCTCCAGCTCGAAGGTGGGGTCGCAGTGCAGGCGGCCTTTCTGTGGGGGACCAGGTCTGAGCTGCGGGGCAGTGGCTCCCTGGAGTCCCCGGCAGGAGAGTGTCACTTACGTTGGGCACGAAGCCTGGCTCCACCTTCTTCTGACTCAGGTCGTCCCAGGACACATGGGCCAGTGAAGGCGAGGCCTGCATGTCACGGAGGCTGGACACACGGTGCTCGGGGTTTACAGTGAGGAGCTGAAAGAGGCCGTGAGGCAGAACGCAGGGCCCACGCTGCACCAGACGCGGGCCGAGCGGGGCAGGCCGGGGATCAAGGGATGTGTCCTCAGTGCAGCCTGAGGCTTGGGCAGTCCAAGGGTGCAGACCGCAGGACCTGCTGCCCAGTCACTGGGAGGGGGCTGGCTCACTGGGGCCCACAGCCCAGCTCCTAGCTCCCCGGAGCACCTGCATCTCAGGCCCCATCCTCACTCTCAGGGTTCCCCCACCCCCACCCCAGGCAGCAGCGCAGATGGGAGTTCCAGCTGGTCACTGAGGTGAGAGTCACTGAGTCCATTTCCAAGGGGCCTGCAAGTCAGTTGTCACACCTCTCCTGGGTCGGTCCCTCCCCTCCCCAAGACCACTTCCTGAACCTCCTGGACTAACAAGAGGTCCAGGGGTGCCTCCTGTGGAGAATTCAGAGCTGACCCTGTGCAGGAGGAGCGCCGGGGCAGGACACCCCGCCCCACCCAGGAGAAGGAGCACACACACCCACCTTCCTCAGCAGAGACACTGTGTCCTTGGACCAGGTCGGGACGTATGGGACGCTTACGGTGCTGAACAGTTGCACCAGGGACTCCACAGCGTCACTCGAGTGGATGTCGTAGGGCCGCTGAGGCAGGAACAATGGTCAGAGCCCGAGCAGGGCTGACAGCACCCCAAATCCACAGGCAGCACTCCACTCCCATGGTACCCAGAGGGCAGCTGGTACCCCCTCCACAGGCAGGCACAGGAGGTGGGCACTGTCCTGGACCCCAAACCAGACGGGGCAGGAAGAAGAGACCCTGCCATCTGCCCTTACCCCAAGGCCCCTGTGGACTTAATATGAAGGTGGAGGTGGAGTCTGCCCACTCAGACACAGGGGACCTTGAGGTGACTGAGTTTTCAGAGTCCAGGGTGGCCAGGATCCCCCCAGGGAGGCTGGAGGGAAGTGCACCCTCCCCCCAGATGGAAGCCTCCAGTGTAAACAAGGGACCCACCCAGAAGTCTCCCAGAAAGTCCCAGGACAGCCCCACTAGGCTGCACACAGACCTGCCCAAACCCATGGGAGACCCAGGCCATTGAGCATCCTTGTTCACGTGTCAGAACCCAACTCCCTTGACTTCCCAGGCCCCCAAAGCATGAAGGGTATCCTGTGCAGAGCTCCATACCCATCCTCGAAGCAGCTCGTAGGCCATCACCCCCACTGACCACCAGTCCACTTCAAAAGAGTAGCCAGTTCCCCCGCTGACAAAGGACTGGAAGATTTCAGGAGCTTTCAGCAGACAGAGAAGAGGCACTGAGCCGGGGGGGCTGAAGCCCTGAGCTCTGCCCTCCCAGGGCCCTTCTAGAGCCAGCTGGCCATGAGAGCAGGGGCACCAGCAGTGGAGCACCGGCCCCTTCTGAGGCCAGCCGTGGAGGGCTCCTCCTGACAGCCAGCTCTCATGGGCATCACTGAGGCTCATGCCCATCCACTGGCAGGTGGCCTTAGGGGAATTTCAGGGAGTCCTGGGGAGACCCAAGGATTGGACCAGCTGTGTGGGCTCAGCATCGTGCACTTACCCATATAGGGCTTGGTACCAGCCAGTGCGGTTGCCTTCTCGCCGTCCTTTATGATTGTGGCGATGTTGAAGTCTGTCAAGTGTGCGTGTCCTGCAGAGGAAAGAAAGGCCGGGCAGCTGCCGCGGAGAACAGTGTCCCTGTGGCAGGGTGGACACTCACCTCCTCCTGCCTCTCCCCCTCGCCCCAGCTCACCTTGCTCATCCAGGAGAATGTTGTCAGGCTTGACATCTCTGCACAGAGAGAAAGAGGGTGAGCACCCCAAAAGCACCTGTTTCCATGTGGATTCTGCAGGCAGGACCTCGCTGCTCCCAAGCAGGTGGACCTAGGGCACACCTGAGGCGTGCGTACCTGTGGATGATGTGCTGGCTGCACAGGTAGTCAAGGGCCATCGCCATCTCACAAATATACAGTCGCACAGTCTCCTCCGAGAACTGGACATTCTGCTGCAGGTGGTAACGCAGGTCCCCACCCGGCAGGAGGTCCACCACCATGAACATGTCCTCCTCATCCTGGAAGGAGTACCTGTGGGCGCCGAGGGCAGTGAGCGAGGAAGTGGTCACAAGAAGGGAAGGTGACGAAACAGTGGGCTGGGGCTGATGGGGGTGGTGCTGGAAATGACAAGGACATGGTAGTGATTGCGACGAGTCATGAAAGGGATGGTGATGGTGCTGGGGGAGGGGCTGATGGCTGTGGAGATGAGGACACGGAGGAGGAGGAGTGACATGGGGGTGCTGGGGGTGGAGATGGGATGCGATGAGTATGGAAATAGGGTGCTGATGAGAAGTGGGGTGATGGAGATGAGGAGGTCATGATGGCGGTGGGTGATGACAGGACAATGGTGGGAAGGGGCCGGTAAGAACAGGGATGGCAATGGTGGTGGCCATCAGGTGATGATGGGGTGATTATGGGGATGGGGATTTTTATGGGGATGGTACTTGCACTAATTTCGTAACATCAACACAAAATTCGGATTCCTAAGTCTTGCCTATTGGTGTTAGTGCCAGTTCCAGGGTCACACGTCCCCTCGTGGAGAGCCCTGGAGTTTCTGCAGGCCCAGGGAGGCGCTGCATTAACCTAGGTGTGTCATGAACATTGAACCCCTTTACCACCCTGGCATACAGAAGATGAATGAATGGCAAGGTACAGGAGGGCAGAGAAGGACTCGGTGCTACGGGGCTTCCAGAGGCATGGGGCACCCGGAGGGGCCCTCCAGGGGCCGACATGGGGCAGAGATAATGGAGCAGGGCCCTGGAGGCTTCACTCACCAGAGGTTTACCAGGAAGACGTGCTCGATCTCCTGCAGGATCTCCAGCTCCCGGAACACGTTGCGGACCTCGTCGCGCTCGATGCACTGCTGCTTGTTCATGTACTTCATGGCGAACATCTTCTCCGTGTCCCGTTTCTGCACAATGCACACCTGCAGCACAGAGGGTGTCAGCGTGCACGCGGGACGGACACACGTAGGCCCACACCTGGACACCAAAATGGCAGGATGCCACGTCTCCTACAGACAGCCCTTCAGGAAACAAGTCAGCCACCTGAATACCAGGGGGCCTCCAGCAAGTGTGCCCACCGGGGGCCAGCCAGTGAGGGACATGCTGCAGGGAGGCTGGGTGCCCTATGCATGAACACTGCACACAGCAGGCAAGCAGACAAGCTGGCGACGGCACCACACACCCCATAACCCAGCTCCCTTCCTGGGAAAGTGGGTTAGAGGGCTGTTGGGATATTAAGACACCCCGTACCCTGCAGCAGACCTGAACTTGACCTGAACTTGGGAAGCTCCCAAGAGCAAGAGCTACCATCCCACCAGGAAGAACTAGACTTCTGTGGTGGTCCAGCCACAGGGGATGCCTTTCGGTCACAGCGGGGCCCTCAGAGGTGAAGGACCCCCCCAAAGCCCTGTGCAGTGCCGATTTCCCCGATGGAAAGGTGCTGATTACTTGAGTGGAGGAGTGAATAACTAAGAAACAGGCGCTGCGAGTCCCTGATGCCCACAGGGAAATCCATGAAAACCCAGGGTGGAGATCTCCAACGAGAGCCAGGATTCAACAGACAAAAACGAGGAGTAATGCAGTCACAGAGAGCCAGTTCTGAGGTCTCCCCAAGAATGGCTCCAGGCTCACCCCCCAAGTGTGGGGAGTGAGAGTTCCAGAACTCAGGGAGGGCGGCCGACAGTCCAAATGCAGCACCCAGAGGCATGTGGTCTGGAACCGGCCCCGTCTCTGAGTGGGCATGAGAGCCCAGCTCTTGGTGCATCCACAGATTGGGAAGGTGCTTTGTGCCTCAGACCTTCACACAGTGTTATTTCCAGAAGAGTTCCAGCAATGCTAGGCACGAAGCAGCAAGCACAACAGTACCACGCGGCCACTCAACAAATATTCCCGGAGAGTCCTTACAATTCTAAGTGGTTATGTGACGCTACGCTAGTTACTATGTCATAAAGGGAGGTGGCGTGGACAGGAGCTGGACTTGAGCTGGACAACTGGAGACAGTGCCATCTTGGGGGGAGTGGCCATGGCGATGGTATGGGTATCCCTGAGGAACACACGGCAGGACATCTCCCGTCCAGGGCAACGGGGCCCTTGTAGCCACCCTGTCCACCCTCCTGCTGAGCCTGCCTGCACTTGACTGACCCGCGGCCTCAAGCACTGAGCTGCGGGGAGACCCCCTCCTCCTGGCCGGGCTCCAGCCGTCTTCTGGCTGCATCATCATTCAGTGCCCACTCCCCCCAGAGCAAGGCGGGGCTGCCACCCCTGCCCTCAAACCCTGTGTCGGCGCAGGTGCTAAGCTCCTCACGCCACGTTCTCATTCCAGGGGCTCCTAGAGAAGTTCTCTAGGTCGGAGGACATCTCAGTGCTAGCCTCCTCCAGGAGGACACAACAACTGCCAGGGTGAAGTGGTGAGGTGGTGCGCCCAGCAGTGGGGTCAGACAGGCGGGTAACTGTGTACTACTCTCTGCTGCTGAAAGAACTGTCACAAACTCCAGTATGTGGACACAGCTCACTGTCCCCCAGGTCTGGAGGTCAGAGCCTGGAATGTATCTCCCTGGAGTCCAGGTGTCACAGGGCAGACTTCCTGAAGGCTCAGGGGACCACTGGCTTCCTTGTTCTCTCCAGCTTCCAGGGACTATCCACATTCTTTGGCCCTGGTCCTCTGTCTTCAGAGGCATCAGTGTCACTTCCCTTATCTTTAAAGCTGTTAACAATCCCAATTGGTCCAGTGGTGAGAATCTTTGTCTTTTTTATACTGAGCTTCAATCCATATAGGAGGCTGCTGTCCTTGACCCTCTGTAGCAAATGCTTCAGGTCCTCAGTTTCAGCAAGCAAGGTTGTATCATCTGCATAATGCAGATTGTTGAGTCTTCCTCCAATCCTGATGCCACACTTCTCCTCATAGAGCTCAGCCTCCTGGATAATCTGTTTTGCATATATATTGAAAATATATGGAGATAGGACACATCCCTGGCATACACTCTTTCCAATTTTGAATCATGTGGTGTTTTCCTGCTCTGTTCTGACGACTGCCTCCTGGTCCAAGTGTAGGTTTCACATAAGCACAATCACATGTTCTAGGATGCCATTCTTCTCAGAGTCAGCCACACTTTGTTGTGATCCACACAGTCAAAAGCCTTTGCATAGTCAATGAAACACAGATAGACATTCCTCTGGTACTCTCTGCCTTCTGCCAAGACCCTAGCCCTAACCCTGTATTGGCTATAATATCTCTAGTAAGACACCACATACTATATCCAATCACACACCACACACTACAGTCATCTCACACACACACCACGCACTACACACCACACCATATGTGGCGTATGAGAGTACAAAGGGATGCATCCAACACTACTCAGGTTCTGAAGCCTCTGCCTGGGAGACCCCTGCCCAGAGGAAGACCAGGTGGGTGAGCTCCGCAAGCTTTTCTATTAGGGATGATCACCTGTGCTGGCTACACCCACAGGCCTGGCCCCACCTCACCTTGTGACCACGCCCACAGGCTCTGCCTTGTCTTGCTGGCCACGCCCACAGGTTCTGCCTCACCTTGCTGGCCACGCCCACACGTTTCCCCTCACCTTGCTGGCCACGCCCACAGGTTTCCCCTCACCTTGTTGGCCACGCCCACAGGTTTCCCCTCACCTTGCCGAAGCTGCCCTTCCCAATGGCCCGCAGGATCTGGAAGTGGTCGAAGTTCACTACAGAACAAAGAGACACAAGTGAGATGGACAGGGGCAGAGTTCGAGCCTCGTGCAGCCCCTCCCCCAGGACAGGAAGTCCTTCCTCCGGGCTGTCCTCCCACCAGGAGTGGGTCACATGCCTGCACACACTGAGGTCCCAGCCCCATTGTGGGGATGAGATCCTGCTGGAAACCATTCAGATGCTATCACTGAGTTCAGGAGAAGGATGGGCAGTCTCCTCCCATGCGAGTAACTGCCTCCGAAAATCCGCTGGACAGTCAGCTATGCATCAGTCTGACCCCTCAGTGGATTAACCCGTGGTCACACAGTCCTTCAGAGCCAATGTCCTTGTAACAGAGGAGATGTAGATATAGACTGGGGCCTGGTCCCCAAGGCCATGGGCACCTGGAGCTAGAGGCTGGAGCTAACAAGGCGGTAGCTAACCCTAGAGTCTGCCGAGGATACAGGCCCGTAATGCCCCGACTCTAGGCCTGTGGCTCCCGAGCTGTCCCCATGGGCCACCCATTCGGTGGACACACATGCCGCAGCCCTGGTTAAACCAGGAAGCGGTGTTTGTCAGTCCCCACCACAACTGGCTCCCAAGCCCAAGTCTCCTTCCGACTGACCTCCAGCCATGGGCTGACCCGGCTTGTAGCCCCAGAGGGCCATCTTTCCTAGGCCCACTGTCTCACACATCCCACAGAGGGACAGGCCATCGCTGGCCCACAACGTTTATCCAGGGTTAGTCACATTCACTTGTCCATCTGTCCCCAGAGCACAGGAGGGAGGGCTTCCCCTCAGTGACTAGAGGACAGTCTGCCACAGCAGCCCTGAACCCCTGGGGGGCAGGAGAAGAGACAGCCCAGGACTTCAGGGGGCAGTCCCATGGTCTCCGGGTCCACTACCTCCCCCAGGGCTCTGTCCCGTGTTCTCTGGGTCTGAGTGGTCTGAGTACCACTGCAGCCACTGTCTGGTGGTCTGGAGGTCCATTCCCTTGCCCAGGGCCCCACCCTGTTTCTGGTATAAGCATGTGGAGACGATAAACACCTTCTTTTCCACTAAAACCACACAATGCCCTCACCCACTCCCTGCTGCTCCACGACGCTCCAGTCCTCACAGGTTGTCTCCCAGGTGTGGAACAGACACAAAGAGGCATCACGTCCAACCTCGGGCAGAGACCTCCTCCTGGGCCAGCTGATCCAGGCCCTCACCCACACAAATGCTCAGGTGGTGCCTGAAAGCCCCAGGCCCCAACTGGACACCTCTAATAGGCACCCCAATTACTCTGCGGTTATTTTTTCAGAGGCAAAAGCAAAGGCTGCCTTACTGAAACCAAGCCAGGACACCGCAGGGAGCCTGCTGGTGTCTCCTTGTGGGGGCGGGCGGCTGCCTGCCATGCTGGAGGCTGTCCCATCAGCATTTCCAACATCAACACCCCGAGTGGACAGGTTCCCAAGGAGCTTCCAGGCTCAGACAGACCAGGGACAAAGGCCTGGACTCTAGCTCCCAAAGCCGGCCAGCAAAACCACAACGGGCCAGCCCTCACCAATCAAGGGACAGTGAGGAGAGAGCACTAGTTTACACCACGTGGGGTCACGATGTCGTGCAGCCAACTTAGTGGCACTGAGAAGTGAGGGTGTGAGGCTGCGTCACCGGGACTGCTGGGGTCGTTGGGTCACCTGGTTTACCAGGGACTGAGAAGTGACTTCCACCTGTGACTTCACAATGTGTATGTGCTCTCTGTGGTCTATGAGGAGGCCTGAGGATGCAGGGGCTAAGTGCTTGGCTACTGACAGAAAAGTTAGCGGTTCAAAGGCCCAGCCACCCCGGGGGAAGGCAGAAGCAGTTGGCTTTCATAAGTATTTACAGCCCTGGGAAGCCTCCGGGTCACTGTCTGCCCTGCGGGTTATTCGAAGGCAGAATGTCTTGCAGGCTGAGGGTTCATGCTCCTCACAGTTATGGACGCGCTGTCGCTGTCGCACTGGAGCCAAAAGCTGACCCTCTAGTGGGTTTGCAGAGCCTGGAAGTCGCTTTCCCGCGGAGCAGCTGCTAGAGAGGCCCCAGACCCCCCAGAAGGTGGAGGAGGACAGCGTGGTTCTGCAGGTCCAGGAATGGCGGGGCTGCACTAAGGAATCAGCATCTCCATCGAGCCAGTGGGTCCATCAGAGCCGCACGCTCGGCCCTCGGGGACCACAGGCTGGATCCGCTTGCCCAGGAAAATCGAGCTGGGAGCAGAGCAGATTTCCTGTACACATAAATCTTTTAAAATCAAGAGTTCTTAAAATATTTATTCTTCAAGGAAGAGTTTTCTTGTGTAGAGCTGACAATCAGAATCCTGGCTGATGCTGAAAATGGGTCACCTGATCCCACAGAAAGGCACTGGGAGGAGGTGGACTGGTCACAAGGTCAGCTTTCAAGTTCAAGTTCACAGAGGTCCAGCTCAAGCCTGTGAGCCCAACCAGACCGGGGGGAAGACCTTCACGCTCCCAGGCCCTCTCCGCAGATGGGCTGCAGTCCACATGGGGTCACCTCCTAGCCAGCCCAGCCTTATTCTCCTGTGGGAACCAGGCATGTCCCCTAGTTACTGCCTCACAGAGCCCACTGACCCCTGTGCGCCCTCATGGGATGCGTGGGCTTCAGTCCTCAGCTCTCTCCCACCGTGAGCACATGGACCGCTAAACCTTGGTCCTAAAGGGCTCAACCATGGAGGGCCCCAAATGGAGGGGGAGGAAAACAGGGAGTAAAATTCAAAATCATAAAAATGACCCGTCTCTTCTCTGCAGACAGGTGGATGCCCGAGGCCATGGCCCGTATTCACCCCCTAGTCTCAGGACAGGTCTCCACTGTGGATCAATTTTTAGCCTGATGTCAGACACATCTAGAAGGTTAACAACACCGGGGTACACTCTCCTCCAAAGAACCAGCCACTGGAGGTAAAAGGGCAGGAGGTGCCCAGGACTCCAAGACCGAGGTTCGGAAGCGAGAAGAAGAGGGGA